AAGGCTTAGGCCTATCTTTCCGGGGCTGTTCTGACTTGATCAGAAGTCCATAAAGTGGTTGGTCACCGTTTTGTGAATACCAACCAGGACACATCCCCATACAGTGGAATTTTCTTCTCATTTGTGAGTATTACTTGAAACATGTTAACCACCAATAACATTTTAAAGGCAGGTGCAGGTCACAGGCAGCGGGTCAGCTGACATAATCGACCACTGCTTGGATTTAAGTTTTCCTGGGCCTCCAAGGCCTGGTAGTCATGGCCACTTAGTTGCTGAGTGTATCCACCAGTTTGTGTAGGCTGTCTGATACTCCCAGTGAAAGACCTGGAGTCTGAAGGAGGCCAAAGAAGCACTCTCGGCTGAGACTGAACATTACATACTGCCGCAGAGACGCAAGAGTTCAAGGCCAGAGAGGCTGCCGTCCTGAACTGGAGAAAGAGACCCAGAAGAATATGGCCATTTCCAGACCTACCAATGGCAGAACAGGGATGACCATTGAATGTCGTCATAGCCTTAGTATGTGACATCTGGCCAGAAATCCACAAAAACAAGTGCATAGAAGCCTGTTCTAAGGGGCAGCACTGATTCCTCATGGACTAGAAAGCCACAGCAGAGCTTGAGTTCTGTTTTTCATAATAGGTATTACATTAGAGGGAAACAAATCCAGCCTTTATGCAGACTCAGTACATATCCAGAGACAGCATCTTTTAACTTCACATTTCTTACAGATTTAACACATTTATGTTATTTTCCTGTGTGTTGTGCTCAAGCACCATGTAAATCAATTCTTTGAAGAAGAGATGAAATAATTTTCCCTTCCATTTCCTTGAAGGTATTGTCTGTGAACAAGTAGTAAATAGTTCTTTGTAACTTTTATAGCAGCTGCCAGCCTTAGAACAACCTCTCCTGACTGTGGGAAAGAGCGAACGCTAGTGTTCTTGGATGGGGTTGTTTATCTCAATCAATATTCCTCGGTGCTAGACCTCAAGAACTCACTGCCTGTTATTATTTGGTGCCAAGAACCATCTAAAAGTCGTACTCACATAAAAAAAGAGACGTGTCTTTGGTGATATTAAAATTAATTTTATTGTTATTTTTAGATGGGATAGAATTGATAATGGATAACGGTCAGAACTCCAGACCTGGCTTAAGGGGTTTAACTCCAAATTCAGCCCCTAGCTTTGAATCTGAAAATTCCTGTGAATACCTCTTCTATGAAATGTGATAATGACAACCAAATTTACCCCATGGAGCCTGTGAGGATGAGATGAGCCAATAGATATGCTTCTTAGCCAGTTCCTAGGGTATTTTGAACACCCAAGGCCTAGTAGTTGAGGTAGTAAGCTTGGTGATAATTGCTATTTATATGGGGGATCAGATACTTCACATTAAAATATGAAATATATTTAAGACCTCAGGAAGCTTTGTGTTTGAAAAGGAACCAAGAACATTTTAGAGGTAATTCTTAGTATGTTCTCAGGCATTAAAAGAAAAAGTCCTTTTTATTAAATTGGTCCTTCAAAAACCTAGCCAAATAAAATTGTGCCCTTATACCTTCCTGTCCCCACTCCTTAAGAGACTTGCACTGCCAGTTCATGCTTATCTGAAAATCCCTTCCTGCTCTCACACTGCTAACTTGTTTCAAACAGTAGACAGTGAGGCATTTCATTCTAACTGTTCTGTAGCCCAGAGTCATGACTGAAGCAGTGGCCACGAGTTTCCCCAGAGCCCGCCTCTCATCCTTCAGACTGGCGCTGAGTTGAGGCTTCCCTTTGTTCACAGTGTTTTAGAATACCCCTCACACATACGCACACGCACACCCCCCAGTTGCCATTCCTGAAACCGGAAGCATTTTATGAACTTGTGTCTGTTACTGGCTCAGTAACAGAGAGAGAAGCTTGGGCCCAAACAAAATATACAAAAAAAAAAAAAAAAAAAAAAAAAAAAAAAAAAAAA